CCTAATGAAAAACTTAGACATGGCAATCAGAGGGATCAGAAGATATGGAAATCACTGTGAGATGGAGAAAGCTTAGTAGGCTTTACGAATGCCACCGTTCAGTGAGAATAAAATGGAAAACTTGAGCAATAGATGGTGTGAGTGTAGGGTGGTAAGCATTGGTCTGGAAGGCACAAGGTTGAACTTAAACCTTTATCGGTTCCCATCCTGAGCCTCAGCTCTCTCCTCCTGGGAGGAACACATAGGTCACCAAGTCCCCTTAGGGCCATGCCCATCTCAAGCCCTAAATGATCCTCTAGGAGCAGCAAGAAGATGGCCAGGATCTCCTTGTCTTGCAGACCCTCTTTCCTTGACCCTTGATTGTGGAGAGAACGTCTCTGACCAGAAGTAGGGGCGGATGGAGAAATGTCCTATAGATGCTTGACCTTGCCTCCTTGAATACCAAAGGACAATGGCCTCAGCCTTTCCCAGAAGAAGCATCTCACTTTAAATTCCTCCCAATTCTAGTCAAAATTCTTTTGATGGTCATTAAAATTACATGAATGGCTTCATGCAATTTTAATGTTCTCTACCCAACAAGTTCTGCAGGAGAAATCCCCCCAGGCACACCCATTGATCATTCTAAGTAGATACAACAAAGCATTTCAAGACATGAGTTTTAACCAGAAAGAAAATGAAATGAATATTTCATTTATGATGGGTCATCTGGTAAGGAATTTTTTTCTAATTTTTTCATTAAAAAATCAAACAACTAAATCCAACCTCTTGTAAAGGCATTGACCAAGCAGATACCAACCTCATGGATTTATCAAACACCATCTCAACCAAGCTTCCTTATAACAACTGCACTGGATTTACAAGCCAATAATCTCTAAAATAGTTTTGCCAACCAACTGAGCTAATCTGGTTTTGGGCTTCATAAAAATAGATGTCTGTGTAATGTTCCACTTGTCCCTGGATCTCTCACTGATACTACCCTAACATCCCCACAACTCAGCATCTGTGAATCAAAAGCTTGGGCCTGGGCAGCATTCCATGATGATCCCCAATATGCTCATTCCCTGGTGTCCACACCCAGTAATCCTCTGGCCTTGAACATACAGTCCTCTGGCCTGTCAATATAAAGGATTTCAGTCCTGTGATTAGATTATGATATGCAGTTGATCCTTGAACAATGTAGGGGTTAGGAGCACCAACCCCTTGACACAATGGAAAATCCACACATAACTTTTGATGCCCCAAAAACTTAACTACTAACAGACTACTGGTTTTTGTTTTGTTTTGTTCCATTTAATGTTTATTTATTTTTGAGAGACAGAGACAGAGACAGAGACAGAGTGCGAGCAGGGGAGGGGCAGAGAGAGAGGGAGACACAGAAACGGAAGCAGGTTCCAAGCTCCAAGCTGTCAGCACAGAACCCGATGCAAGACTTGAACCCAGAAGCCATGAGATCATGACCTGAGCCAAAGTCAGACGCTTAATGTACTGAGCCACCCAGACACTCCCTAATAGCCTACTGTTGACCTGAAACCTTACCAATAACATAAATAGTTGATTAATCCATATTTTGTAGGTTATATACTTTTTTTCTTACAATAAGCTAGAGAAAAGAAAATGTTAAGAAAGTCATAAGGAAGAGAAAATGCACTTATAGTACTCTACTGTATGTACTGAAAAAAAAAAGATTGTGCTTATAAATGAACCCAAACAGTTCAAACCCACGTTTTTCAAGGTCAACTTTATAACATCACAATTTCAGCCTTGTGAGACCCTGAATAGAGAACCCAGGTCAGCCGTGCACAAACTTAATGACCTATAATACAACATAAGATGATTAATGGGCATTGTTTTAGGCCACTAAGTTTGTGGAAATTCGTTATGAAACAATATGTGGGGAAATCCATACTGGTGATGGAGATAGGAAGTTATCAAACAAACTATGCCAATTTCAAAGATGATCCAGTTGCAAATTCTGTCCTGCCAATGGCAGAGAGAAATGATTTGAAAGGAGAGAAATCAGAATGTGGAGGAGACACGAAACCATATTCTAAGATGGGAACCTAAAAAATCTCTTGGGCCAGAGAGACGATGTTTGGCCTCAAAAAAGGAAGCTTGATTTGTGTCTTCAAAGACTTGATGGGCTGTCCTGTGTCAGAGTTATTAGACATGCCCAAATTGCGGGAAGCACAAGATGGATGTAATCTCAACATACCAAAGGAGGCTTTAATATCCCAAGATTCCTAGCGATGGAAAGGGCTACCTTTATTATCTACACTTCTAATTCAGTCCAGATTCCTAATTCATTCCAAGTACAAAACATACTATTGAATTACGTTAAAAACAAGAGGATGGGGAGCCTAGGTGACTCAGTCAGTTAAGCACCCAACTCTTGATTTTGGTTCAGGTCATGACCTTATGGTTTTGAGATCAAGCCCTGCATTGGGCTCTATGCTGACAGCACGAAGCCTGCTTGGGATTCTCTCTCTCCTTCTCTCTCTCTGCCCTTCCCAGATGTGAGGGTGAACTGACATGGCATCATGCCAAGGACAAAGCGACTCCTGAATCCTGCCCTCACAAGTTTCCACGAGGATAAGCATAAACTAAGGGAAAGGAAGATGTAGCACACTCTAAGGCTTTAGCCTCAAATCTCAGGGTAAAATTCTATGAAGTATGACTGCATCTATTAGAATATTCCCTTTTCTTAAGCAGGAGTTTCCCAATAGCCTGATGCCAAAGCACTCTGAAGACCTATTCCGATTATTTCTCCCCTAAAACAAAAGCCTGTGTTGAGCATCACAACCTCTAATTTGAGAAAAGATTATTTCTTCCAGGGAAAAACAGAAGAGAGCAAATGAGACCTAAGCAAGTCAGGAAAGGAACCCAGTACCCAGAGGAGGCTGATCTGGACTACCCACTCCAAGCCTTTCTTCACCCAAGGAGAACCAAACCGTTGGGACTGCTTGTCATTCAGTCCTTGATGGTCCCTATAGAAATTCTCCTGTCCTCTCTGCAATGTTAGATTCTCCATTTCCTGACTTGCACTTCATTTCATCATATTGCTTGCCTTCTTTGTTCATTTACTTGGAGCACATCCTCCAATAGCTTTCTGAGAAAAGGTAATAGAGGCTAATTTTAAACCTTGTCTAGCTGAAATACCATTAGTCTTTCTTCCTCCTTTGCTGATGTTTTCCTCAGTCTAAATTCTAAATTTAGAAATTCTAAAATGGATATATTTTCCTCAGAATATGGAAGGATTGCCCCATTGTCTACTACTTTCCCATACTGCTTTTGAGAAACCTGAAGTCATTCTGATTATTGTACATGGTCTATTTTTTTCTCTGTGCTTTGGTGTGGTTTTTCTTATTCCTAGCCCTGGATACCTTTTCAGTGGGCCCCTGCAATATGGAAATTCATGTCTTTCTAAAATTTCTTCCTTATATCATTTTTGTCAATACTCTGTTCTCACACAGGCTGGGGAGAGCCCCCTCACGAGTGATGGCAAACATTGTAATCTACTGGCCTGCATAATTGCATTGTGCTGAATGCTAACTAGGGCATCAGGGGAGGAAGCATTGCTTTTCCCACCTTCCGTTCCAGAGCATTGCCTGAGTAGAAAAAAAGTAGACTAATTCCTTCACCCCAAAACTGTCCAAGGCCATTGGGAGAGTAACAGCTCTGCAGGATTCACAACCATTGTCTCATCTCAGAGCCCATCTGACAGAATTTACCAATTCAGCTATTTCTTCTGGCAAATCTGGATGTCTGTCCTCCAAATCCCTCTCCCTATTAGATAAAATTCATCTTCATATATACTTTCTACCCCATTTCCATCATAAATAATTTTTCCCTCCATTTTCTCTGTTCTTTCTTTCTGAAACTTGTATTAGCTGGATGTTGGGACTTCATGGATTGATTATTTAACATTATTTATTCTTCCCTATTTCTTATCTCTGTCTTTCTGTACTTCTGCCTGGGAGATTTCTGAAACTTTATCCCCTAACACTTCTATGGAATTTTTTAAATTCCTGCTATCATATTTTTAATCTTCAATAACTCTTTCTTATTCTATTTTTCCTTTACATGGCAGCCTCTTCCTGTCTGGAGAAAACAATATTTTAATGTAAATAGTGGCTTTCTAAGTTTTCTTGTGCTTCTCACCATATCTTTGTGCCCTTTCTTTACCCTGTGGTTTTTGTTTGCTTTTGTTTTGAGTTCTTGCCATTGTTTTTGTCTCTTGTTCCTGTAAGAAACATTCTTCAAATGCCTGATGGCTTTCAGCCGCTCATAATCCAGCCTGAGGCACTCAGAAGCTGATTGGAAGCATGACATGGAAAGGCAAAACTTACCAGCTGAGCAGTGACAAATATCCAAATGGCTTTTTCTTTACTGAAGAGTAAGGTGCTTTGCTTTTCTTCCACACATTACACATAAGAACTGCTGGCCCAAAGAGGAATTCTCTGTCTGTACATCCAAGAATAGGCTGTAACTCTGTCTATAATCTGTCTATACTATGATGGGAATAGCTAAGTCACTCTGGCTTGGCCAGGCACAAGACAACTACTAGTTTATATATTCCATAAGCTTCCCTGTGAGTGACCATCTCTGTGTGCAAAAGTGATTCAGGTTCTTTACACAACTAATCTCTTTATGACGCTCCCTCCTGACCTCTCAAATTTCAGCCTGTTGAACTATTTCATATGTGGTAAATGCCATTAGGAGAGCTGACCGTCAGCCACAAGACTGCATAACCATTTCTTGGTCCTCACAAGAATCCTCCCCAAGAGCATCAGTGACTCCAACTTCAGAGGAAGATATTGAGGTGATGACTTGGGTCTGACAACAAAGCTCAAGTATGGACCATAGCTGACCCTCACCTTACCCTACGGAATTTACTTTTGTTCTGCAAAGAGAATGTGGTTTCTAGGGAGAAGGGGGTATCATCATTCCATATGGAACTTCCAGGAAGCGTGGTAAGGGGACAGAGGAGAGACCCCCAGAAGATGCTGCTTCTCCTGCTCGGCTGTCTCCTACCTGCTGCCAATGGGAAGAGCTGTCTCCTCTGCTGGCCAGGACTGCCTGCATTGATAGACTATGATCTGCAGATTCTTTGGGGCACCCCAGGGCCACCCACAGAGCTCTCCCAAAGCCTCCACACCTTATTCCTGAAGGATCATGTCTTCATAGAACCCTGGTATCTTGGTGAGGCACAGCCTAAAGACCAGGGATCCCTTTACCTGGCCTGGGCAATTATATCCCCAACTGCCCTTCATCCCATGTCCCGTTCTCAGATCAGAACCGTATGGAAGAAGCAGCAGCCAAATTATTCAATCACATAGATGAAGCCATCAAGAAGTTCCGAGATAGTGAGGAAGCCCCAAGCTTGGGTTGACAAAACCCAGTCCCCCAAGGCACTCCCAGAAGGCCCACTGGCCTGGGGTGGGAATATGTGGGGAAGAGTGGTGACAGACACAGCATCTGTGTGCTCTGTGCAGTTTTTGTTTGAAAAAATGACTTGAATTCCCAACCTTGAAAGAGTTATGCAATTGATTCCAACTATAAAATGTGGGTGATGAAAGCACCATCTCCTCCTCCTCTTCGTCCCAGATAAACCATCACTTTTGGAAGAGATTCATATCCAGCAGAAGGTGTTTACTGAGAAGCTGGATGAGATATCTGAGGAGCTGAAGGAGAAGGGTGAGAGGTGGAGCTGGCCCCCACCCACCACCCAGTCCTTCACCTCCCCAGGACTGTGGAGAGCAGAGCCCAGTCACCTCCCCAGGACTGAGAAGAGCAGAGCCCAGTCTGCAGCCCCTCCTGCATGCCTCCCCAGGAGCCCCCTCCCCTGCCCACATACTGGGTGCCTATCCACACCTCCTCCCAGCTCCCTTTCCTGCTCACACCCCAACCCTTCCTGGCTCTGTCTGCCTCCCCAGCACCTCAGTTTCTCTACCATCTCACCCTCCCGGGCAGCCTGCAACAAGTCTTGTGGTGAGTATGTGTGGGGACCTAGGTGGGGGGATGAGGGGTGAGGGGCACATGGCTCTGGCTAAGGCTCCTGCCCATCTCCTCTCACAGACCTACGCTCCACACTGGAGGTCATGAACTGTGCCAACTGCAAGACACACTTCCTCACCTGCAAAGACCCCACTCTTTGCGCAGGTCAGTGGCAGCAGGCCATCCTGCCTCCAGCCTGCCCCCACTCCATCCCAGATCGCTGTTGTCTCTGTCTGGATTGTCTTCCTCCTCTGCCCAGCCCCGAGCTCTTCTTTCACTCCATCCTCACCAGAGATGATAGCACCTGCTGGAATTTCTTGATGTCATATGTCCAGCTTCAGAGCCATAGAGCCACCTGCTTCTAGGACATCTCCCCCAGAGGTCCCTCAGGACCTCAAAGCCAGCATGCCTGGAGACTTGTTCAAAATCATCCCCACTGCCCAAATCTACTCTTCTCTCAGGGCCCCTCTCAGCAAATGACCCCATTTAAGTCCTTAGCCTCCTAAATTGGGAACCTCTGTCTCCCATACTCGGTACATGCAATCATCAAATCTTATTAAATAATTCTTAAATGAGTTGCCATATTTTCATTTCTATATCTACCATGGTTCTTCAGGCATCCTCACTTCTCACCTGGATTATGTCAGCATCTCTCAACTGGCCTCCCTGCCCCTCTTGGCCACATCTTAACAACCAAAGAACTCCTTCTCAAGGAGCAAATCTACCTATGACACTCCTTGTTTATAGCCCAATTGCCCCACAGATAAAGTCCATCTCCTTGGAGGGTCCTGTGCAAACAGCCCTTGCTTATCTCCCACCAGCACTGACTCCCCAGTCACACTGAGCTGCTGACATGCTGGACATACAGATAGCTTCGTGCTTCTGCCCTTGAACTTTCTGTTTCCTCTGCCTGGAACACAGTTCAGTCCTTAATTGTGGGACTGAAACTGAAATCCAACTTATCTTTCAAAGTCCAACTAAAAGTCCTGTTTCCTAAGAATGTTTCCCTGACCAGCTCCCACCCCCTGAGGCTCATCAGCCCTCCTAGTGGCTACTTCTCCTCTGTTCTGTCCCGTTCTGCTTCCTCTGTCTCCCTCCTAGAGCCCAGGGACTGTGTCTCACTCCTCTATAGAAATATGCGGGGCACACTGTGGGTGCTCAGTAAGTGTATGCAAACAAATGACTGAGTAAGCAAATGAAAGAAAGAAAGAAGAGGCTGAGTGGGCAAATAAAAGGAGGAAAGAAGAGGCCCAGATTCCTCACTATTCCCAAACACCTGGCTCCCTCTTTTATATCCTCAGCCAGTACTGGGAGTACCTTTGCATGGTTTGTGAGCCTTGGAATTATTCTGTTCCTGGCATCTGTAGCTGGAAGTGGGTGAGTTACTTTCCAAGCCCCAGCATCCCCAGGGAGGACACACTGACTTATCCTTCCCTGACTTATTTCCACCCTGTTTCCTAGCCCAGATGCTACATTTTCTGGCACAAGAAGAGGAAGAAGGAAGTAGAAAAGGTGCTGGAAACCCTGCCAGAATATAGGGTTCCCAAGAGGGTAAAGCTGGGGATAGCAAGGCTGGAGGCCCCAACTCTGGCTCCAACAGTCTGACATCCAGAGCCCAGTAAGACCAAGGCTGGGGCTTGGAAAACCCCATCTCCCCTTAGTGTAAACACACACCCAGGGCCGGGGGCCCAGGACACAGTGGCAACAAAGCTCCACAAAGTGTCCTCTGCCTATAGCTATCCTTGTCTCTCTGCAGACCTTCTCCCCACCCTGGGTCGCCATGCTCCCCGACCTGGACAGATGATCAACATGGCCCTCCTGCCCTCTGCTCCTGGCTGGCCTCAGCAAGCAGGAGTTCAGAGGGACAGAGGCAAGGGCATGTGACAGGTCAGGGTTTTTCTTTCTCAGCAGGAACCCAGCAGTCCACTGGTCTTCCACAGCTGAGCAGAGATAGTGCAGTTGCTGTCAGGAAGCCCTCTCATCACTGGGTTCCTGTAACCATCCCTTCCCTGACCCGCTCAGACCTGGTGTGGTCGCAGCTCTGTGACCCAAGAGACCACCCTCTGTCTTGTGGCTTCCCTATGCACATACTTTATAAACACCTTTTATTAAAATACCTTTCTACTATTGGAAGTGATGGACTGTAGTATCTGTTTCTTGCGGGGCCTGGACAGACAAAGCTGGCACTGTGATCCTCCCCATGCAGTCCCCACAGGGCTTGTTCCCTCTCCTCACCCTCCCTCTGCTGGCCCACCACCCTCCTCCCTCCTGAAATGCCCCTCTCCTGCTGCCCTGGCCCCAGCAGTGGTAGCTCCACAGTTTCAGTCTAGCCTCACCTAATTCCAGCACCAGAGGTGAAAGCAGAGGTGGCCTGGATCCCTCAGGGGCCACTGTCAGATGTTGAACAAAGGCAGTGAGAGGCCACCTGATGGCCCAAGGACTAGCAAAAGAACAGGCTCTAGAAAACAGACTCCAGGTCACATTGACAACAGACCTCATCCACATCCTAGCCAAGATGTACACCCTGGAGACATCCAGGTCCCCAGTGGATCTGGTGCTACTAGCAAAGATGTTTCACTGGTTCTGCCTTTTGAGGGTAGGGAGGGCTTTGCCTCCTCCTGTCCCATCCCCGTGTCATTTTCCTTGTCTGTCTCCAAGGCCACCAGATTAAATGGAACCTCTTAGTCCTCCAGGCACAGTTCTGCCCATTCTCCCTCAACCTCAAGCCCTTCGTCACAGGTGCTCCCAGCCTTGTCCTTGACTCAGACTCTGCTCTGAGACTCAATGCAACCTATCCAGCAGCTTTGAAACCACTGACAGGTCCAGAGTCCTGGTCATCAGGTCAACCCCTGATTGCTGAAAGGAAGCAGGTCTGAGACCAGAGCTAAGGGCAAGTAGCGGAGAACCTGGACTCAAATCCTGACTCTGATACTATTCCCCCATCTGAGCATGCAGAGAGGTATCATGCTTCAGCCAGGTTGGTGTGCCCTGTCCCAGGAGCCCACTGGGTTCATATTTGTTGTCATCCTACATGTGCTCATGCTGTGGGTCAAAATGTAACACCCTCACCCCTTCCCCTCATCCTCAGTCCATTGAAATATTGTGAGGACCCACATCCTAGCTCCTGAAACAAGACTTCTTGTCTCCATAGGCCTTGCTGGTGTCCTCCACTTCCAGAGCTAGCAGCCAGGCTAAAAGGGATCTGACTTCATCAGCACCACCCCCACTGTAAGGGCTGCTCCTTTGGCAGGGGTGGAAGGGACTACAAGAGACTGAGTCAAGATGTATATATGTCATAAAAGGCAACCAGGGCAGGGAGCACAACGGCCAAGGGTAGCTGTGGGTCCCCAACCATAGGCATCCCCAGCCCCCAGCCAGGGGGATCCAGGAAGGCCCCTTTACGGTAGTATCTTCAACTGTGAGAGGCCAGAGAAGCTGGGAAGTGAGGGAGGAGTGTTTTCATTGAAGGTTCAGTGTTGCAAAGAAGTGGAAATATGAGAGGTTTGGGTTCAGGCAACTCCAAGAAATGTGATATGGCTGGAGGGCCCAGGTAAGAAGGTGGCAAGAGGTGGGACCCACAGAGGCACCTAGGCCCAAAGGGAGCTGAAGCAAGTGGGCAGGGAGGGCTGGGGGAGGCAGTGGAGGGTTTCCCAGGGAGAAGACAGGACTCCAGAGAGGGATAGGATGGGTATGCCCAGGCAGATGAGGCTCCACATGCTTGAAGCTGAGGTGTTCCCTCCATCCAGCTCCACAGACCCTTCCTGACTCACAAAACTGAGGAAGGTCCATAGATGGAAGGGTTTTGGAGAAAGCACAAAGACATAGCTACAGCAATATGGTGACAATGTCCTTGTAACCACTCTGGATGACTGAGCCAGAGTCCCCCAGGCAGTGGTCATGGACCTCCAGGAAACTGTGGTTCTCTCTGTGTGTCTGTGAAAGCTGGTTGCCATCTAGGACAAAAGAAAAGCCAGGCTTTCATGGTGGTGATGTTGTTTTCTTATTTGTATTTAAATTGGGACTTAGACCATCACTTCAAAGTATCCAGAGCAACTGTTTTGTGATGCATTCGGTGAAATCCTGAGTATAATTTATGAGTGTGTGTGTTTGTATGTGCACATGTCTTATCAACAGATTTTTTTTTTATTATTTGAGGGCATATTTGCATGAAAAGTAGATATTGAGTTCTGCTACAGTAGAAAGATTAAGGAATTTTGAGTCAGGTAAATCTTGGTCAAAATATAGGCTCAAGGATTTTATGCTTCCAGCTATGACAGAGCAGTTTATAGGACACCAACACTCCCACCGAGGGCAACTAAATACAAAATATATTAAAAGAGCAAAATAAAGCAAAAAAGTTTCTTTAAGGACCCAGGTCCCTATGTGTCTAAGGTTCTGGAAGGAAGTAGAGCTCTCTGTGGTGAGCCCTGTGTCCTGCAATGAGCTTCCCCTTGGCACTGGCAGGCTTCAGCGGTGCAGGCTGAGGGGCTTGGGGGGTGCTGGCCTACAGATGCCTGCAAAGTGTGGAGAAGCCAACAGAGCTTTCAGCAATATCATGGGCTGGAGAAACAAACCGTGGAGTTCTATCTGGCCAAGACAGAATGTGAATGATCCAGATCCCTGAAAGTGCAAAGGTACAGAAAAGGCAAATAAAAGCATACACCATCCCCCTGAAGCATTCCTATTCCTAACTTTCATAGGCCCAAAGACAAAGAAATCAAGCAGAAAGGATCTGAAATGCATTTTATCAGAGATTTGCATGATAGGGAAATAAAAAGTAGAGTTGGTGATCCACACAGGAAAACAAGTTTTGGTAAACACTCCAAGGTATTGGTTGGAGAGGCAACAGCCTAAAAGAAGGGGTACACCAGAGGCAAAACAATCGTTACAAAGTATGGAGCTAAGCCTCAAGGCATTGCAGTGTCTGACAAAATTAAAGAGACTATTCTTATTCTATATCACTACTGGGGGAAAATAACATCATCTAAAGCCACTACCCTGTTTGATTTGCAATATCCGGTATTCAAACAAATATTAACAAGCATACCAAAAAGAGAAGCAAGGGAAAAATCAGATGATAGAAACAAACCTACAGGTGATCCAGACATCAGCATAATCTGATATGAATTTTAAAATACATGTGACCAATGCATCCAAAACTATTCTTTGCAGCTTTACTGTGATAAAATTTACATTTAATATTGTGTCAGTTTAGGGGGTCCAATGTGCTAATTTGATATACTCACAAAATTGCAAAACATGGGACACCTGGGGGACTCAGATAAGTGTCTGACTCTTGATTTTGGCTCAGGTCATGATCTCACTGTTCCTGAGTTCAGGCCCTGCATTGGGCTCTATGCTGATGGTGTGGAGCCTGCTTGGGTTTCTCTCTCTCTCTCTCTCTCTCTCTCTCTCTCTCTCTCTTCTCGACTCATGCTTTCTCTCTCTCTCAAAATAAATAAATAAAACTATTTTTTAAAAAATTAATTCAAAAAGAAAGAAAAATGCAAAACAATTACTACCATAGCATTAACTACCATCTCCCTCACATCACATAATTACCATCTTTTTTTCTGGTGAGAATATTTAAGATTTGTTCTCTTAGGAACTGTCAAGTATATAATACAATATTATTAACTATCACTATGCTGTTGTACATTAGATCTCCAGAACTATATTTGTCTTATACCTAGAAGTTTGTACCCTTTAACCAATATCTCCCCATTTCCCCCACCCTACCCCCAGTTCCTGGCAACCACCATTCTATTCTGTTTCTATGAGTTTGGCTTTTTTAGATTCCACAGGTAAGTAATATCATACAGTATTTGTCTTTCTCTTCCTGACTTATTTCCCTTAGCATAAGGCCCTCAAAACTCATCCATATTGTTGGAAATGTCAGGAGTTTCTTTTCTCATGGCTGAATAATATTAATATATTCATATATGTGTCATGTGTATATATTCATGTATATATATATATATATATGTATATATTCATATATATAATTTTATTTATCCATTTATCTGCTAATGGGCACTTAGATTGATTCCATATATTGGCTGCTATGAATAATGCTGCAATAAACAGGGAGGATAGATATCTCCTCAAGAGCCTGTCTCCATTCCCTTTGGACATATACTCAGCTCCAAAAATTTCTCTTTGGTTCTTTTATACATTTTTCTATCTTTTTATTGAGCTTCTTGTTTTGTTCTTGTATTATCTTCCTGATTTCATTAAATTATTTATCTATGTTCTCTTATAGTTCTCTGACTACCTTCAGAATAATTATTTTAAATTCTGTCAGGTAATTCAAGGATCTCCATTTCTCTGGAGTTGTTACTGGACTTTTACTTTGTTCCTTTGGTGATGTGATGTTTCCTGATTCTTCATGATCCCTGTAGCCTGGGGTAGGTGTCTACTTATTAGAAGAAGCAATCACTTCTTCCAGTTTTATGAACTGGTTTTGTAAGGAAAAACCTTCACCTGCTGAAAGGGGCATCTTGGAGGCTCCAGTTCAAGGGTGTTGGGGTGGGAGGAACTGGATTGGTGTGGGAGATGGGGTGCAGGAGTGACTTCATCAGCTCAGGCTGTGGGTCCACAGCACCAACTGTTTGATCCTTGGTGAATACAACAGGAAGTCCACAGAGGCTGCATGTGCTTTGACATCCTCAGTGGACCTCCACACCCAGTGCCTCCAGGTCCAGATAATGTTACTTGCTTACTAATATTTCATACTCGGCCATAAAAAAGAATGAAATGTTGCCATTTGCAACAACGTGGATGTAACTAGAGTATTATGCTAAGCAAAATGTCAGCCAGAGGAAGATAAATACCATGATTTCACTCATATGTGGAAATTGAAAAACAAAACAAATGAGCAAAGAGATAAAATGAAAAAAAGACAAACCAAGAATAGACTCTTAAGTATAGAGAACAAACTGATGGTTGCCTGACGGGAGGTGGGCAGGGGGATGGGTGAAATAGGTGATGGGGATTAAGGGGGGGCACTCATCCTGATGAGCACTGAGTAATATACAGAATTCCTGAATCACTATGGTGTATACCTGAAACTAATAGAATATGGTATGTTAACTGCACTGGAATTAAAATAAAAGAAAATTTAATTTAACTATTTAAACATAAGTAAATAAAGAAATAGGTGCCAGAAGTTGTGAGTGTGTGTGTGTGTGTGTGTGTGTGTGTGTGTGTGTGTGTGTTATGTATTTTTCAACAAATGGTGTAGTCATCCATAGGCAAATATGAGCTTGGCCTTCAGTCTCACACATTATTAAGAACATGAACTCAAAATGTATCATAGGGTTGAATGTGAAATATAAAACTATAAAACTTTAGTGTAACACATAGGGGGAAATCCTCAGAATCTGGGATTGGACGAAGAATTCTTAGATAACACCAAAAGCACAATCCATGAGAAGAAAAACTGATAAATTGAACTTTGTCAAAATGAAAACTGTCGCCTGTTAAAGACCCTGTGAAGAAGACGAAAAGACAAGCTACAAACTGGAAGGAAAGATGTGCAAACTACACATCTGACAAAAGGTGAGTGTCCAGAATATATAAACTCGCAATAAAAGTCAAACAATCCAATTAGAAAATGTGCAAAAGACATAAGAAGACATTTCACAGTGGAGGATATACAAGTGCCAAATAAGTACATGAAAAGATATTAAACATCATTACACATGAAGAAAGCACCAGCAAAAGCCACGATGAGATATCAGAGGGCACACTGGCCTCTAAGACTGACAGTGCCAGGTGCTGGTGGGGACATGGGGCAAGCGGGTCTCATATGACCCGGGAGGGAAAGTAGGACAGTGTTGCTACTCCACAACACTGTTGCAGGGTTGGGGGGCTG